GAAATAAATCGTCATGGACATGTATCCTAACATGTATAATCTATGAACAATATTTTCAAAAAAACAAGATGGCTGACAGTCGGCCATTTTGAATCAAATCGCTAAACCACTGCATTTGCATATGTCCCACCATAAGGTAATAGGCACATGCAAAGAATGAACGAAATCGCTCCACAGGATTCTGAAATATGACTCTGGACAGACTGACGCACGGACGGATGGACGGACTGACGCACGGACGGATGGGCAGACTCAGGAACTCAAGGACAGTCGGGGACATGTATCCTAACATGTATGATCTATGTACTAAATTTGAATGAAAACTGACAAAGCATGTCCAAAATACAACATTTTCAAAAACAAGATGGCTGCCAGTCGGCCATCTTTGATGTAATTGTGAAATAAATCATCATGGACATGTATCCTAACATGTATAATCTATGTACCAAGTTTGAATGAAAACTGACAAAGCATGTCCAAAATACAACATTTTCAAAAAACAAGATGGCTGACAGTCGGCCATTTTGAATCGAATCGCTAAACCACTGCATGTGCATATGTCCCACATAAAGTACTAGGCACATGCAAAGAATGAACGGGATCGGTCCAAGGGATTCTGAGATACGACTCCGAACGCACGGACAGAGACCAAATTATAATTCTCCGATTTTGGATTTCGTCCGAACGGAGACTAATTATGAGTAGAATATATAATATAGAAAATATGAAATAAAAAGAATTCTGTCAGCAGAAAAGTCAATCCGAAGTCCCTGTTTTCAGACAGTGTCCAAATAGGGACTAATTATATACTGTGGTTACTAGAAGAGGAGTACCAGGAAGTTTTCTTTTCCAAACCACAACTTCTGCAGTTACTAAGACAAGCAACCTGACAGTCAAAATAGCTCAGCTGTGCTACAAGAACATTGTTGCAGCCAAGTCAAGGAAAGGCACACCCATAAAACTGCTTCTTGAAAACTGTCAGCATAATTTGATACCAATTATTAAAGTAATTGAGAGGATAGTTTTCAAGAAAAAGTTCAGTGTCTATTTAAATTGTTTTCTTTTCTTAGACCAATCCATTTTAACCGTCCAAATATACTTCCAATAATGAGGTTATTCTGTATCAGTTAGCTGAACTGCTTTGCATTGCATGTGATATCACGTTGCCAAACTCTATTGCATGTGATTGATGCAGTGATTTGCCTTGAACATATAAACCATGACAGTGCATGCTAGTATAACCACGAGATCAAAGAAAGCTTAGAAAGAACTCCCATGTGCTGAGAGTATTTGAGACACATTAAATATAATTCAATCAGGGGCGTCGATCATGGGGGGACAGGGGGGACAGGGGGGACAGGTACCCCCACCCCACTTTCTGAAAGGTGGAGGACACAATATCAACTGTCCCCTCCACTTTCCAGATTTAGCCAAATATCAATAATATGCTTATATCAAAGCCTGCGTTTGTGTGAGGCCTTTGGTTCTGTGTACATGTACTGTATTCTTAATGATCAAGAATGAAAATCCCCAAGTATGCACCAAATGACTTCATTTTGGTTGCATTTTTCAAAAATGTCTACTATCTGAGGAGGGCACATCCCTCCTCGGGGTTACACACCTATATTCCGACACCCCTATGTTGAGATGCTAATAGGTTCTGACACCTACGAAATTTTAGAAACGTTTTTGACATTTCACTGCGTTGTTATATCTTTACTATAGGAAAAAAATGTCATTGTTCTTCTTCAAATATTATTCTACGCTCACCTTTTGTAACACAATGTTAAATTTCTTTACATTAAAAAATAACTATGCCGGATTATAATACTTGCCACTCTTCTAGCCATGGGCTTTCATGGAGGTGTTTTTGTGATCATCGTCGGCAATATTCTCGCGATGTATCCTATCAAGCTTCAGACGCAAAATATTTATTTTTTTAATTATTACTAAACGTTCAGATCAACAATAAACTATGTACCTGGCAGTCTTCATGTGGGCCTCTGACATCTTGTACTCGGGGATACCTAAATTACATTGTTTAGTAGTTTTATGTTCAACGATCATCTAATAAATTCTGAGCTGGCCAGAATGTGCCATATTTTCAATGGAAATATGTACGCTAGTGGTCGGAAGCCAAAATTGGATAAATACCCCTCCCCATGGTAGAACAAAGCAACATGTTTTTTCTCTGTTCAGCACGATCAGTCTAGTTACAGAACACTGACTGTACAATTAAAATTAAGACAAGGCTGTAAAATTTACATGCCATAAAATAGACAGAAACATGGGAAATAATTTGGTCAATTTTGGCCGTAGAATCTGAGCCGTTTTTGCCCCCGACAATCAGGGTAAATATGTTAGCTTCAAAAATTTAAACACAGCGTCAAATAAAAAAAGAAAAAGAATGGGATGAACCTTATAAAAAGATATAATTACGTAATAGCCTGTCACATATTAAATAGGAATACCTCAGACAAACACCATCATGTTATATATCAAATTAAAGTTATATTGGTGT